CTTTTCAATTTTATTTAAAACGAAGTACACACCTCATACCGTCGTCCTTATTTTTTTAAGGAAATTGAGTTTTGTTTAATATGGCTGCGAAAGACGCTTTGAAAAAAGTGAAGACCGTTGACGACAAAGTTTTTCGTTTAAAGCAAAGAGAAGATAAGTGGTGCTGAAATTAAAAACTTTAAAAAACAGCAAGAAGACAACACAGCGCTTCGGAAGTCAGCAGTCATGGGCTTATTTGCTCCATAATTTCCTAAAACAATAAAGATATGGTAGAGGAAATTTATTGATACAGGGTGTCCCAGAACTCACGACACAGAAAAAAAGGAAACGTGCCGAAAGTAACCTATGCGAAACACATACTTGAAAATTAAAGATATCTAACGCATAGGGGATTCTTTAAATTGCTAGGATACTTAGGATGCATTGTTGATATTACCTATAATATGTAAAATATTTGGTTGACTGGAATCCACTTCATTGCGATCGTCGTAGACTGTAAAGTTCTGCGTTGTAACGAAATTGAAGGTGCTCCTTAACGTATTAAAACAGCGGAAGCTTTTTTAACGCCTTTGATGCAAATAGTAGGAAGAGCATAATGGAAGTTGCACGCGAATTTTTCGTTCACAGTTCAGCGTTTTATGAAGGACCCTGCAGCCGGAAGAGTAGAATTCTGAAGTGGTTGCTAGACATTTTGGCTCTGGGGTACAGAACTAGTTGTTTAATTTTTACTTGAAAACATTGGTGTTCTGAAGTATTCTTTTTTGAAAGGTAAACACAGTCGGGCAAAATATTTTTAAAAGTCTTCAGACAACAATGTTCTCACGGTGTGCCTGAACGAAGTTTAGGTCACATAAAAATGACGCCAAAAACTGCAGTTCATGATTGCAGTTTCTTGTTCGGGACCCTTTGGTGACTTAAAAATGATATTTACCAAAATCCTAGCTGCTCCTCTTTTCGAAATTTTTTGAAAATTCATGATTTTTTTTTAAATTTTTGTTTATCTTAATGTCTACCTTTGACAGAGTACACATTTGTACACCGATTTTTATAATATTGGAGTATATTGTTAAGGAGATTTGGAGAATACTGTTTATACTGTGCACATCATTTAATATATACAGGGTTAGCCAAAAATCGCTTCTTTTAATAAAGCAAAAGCGTAAATTCATGATTTTGGCATAACACGCAAAAAGATATATACCCACCCATGTTTTTTTAGATATTTTTATGTTTATCAGGCTACAAAATGGGATTCTTATCAAGACTTTATAAGAAAAATTGATTTTGAATAAAATTAAATTAAATAAATTTTTTTGGAGATAAATCTGTTTTGTGCATTATGCTTTTTACTATATAAAAACGTGATTTTAGGCTAACCCTGTATAAATCTAATGATGTGCTCAGTATGAAAACAGTATTCTCCAAGTCTCGTTAACAATATACTCCAATATTATAAAAATCGGTGTACAAATGTGTACACGACGTGTACTACACGTCACAGGTAAGATAAACAAAAATTTAAAAAAAATTAAGAATTTTCAAGAAATTTCGAAAAGAGGAGCAGCTAGGATTTTGGTAAATATCATTTTAAAGTTACCAAAGGGTCCCGAACAAGAAACTGCAATCAATAAAAATCTGTGTACAAATGTGTACTCTGGCAAAGGTAGACTTTGCGATAAACAAATAATTAAAAAAAAATGATATTTTAACAAATTTAAAGAAAAGCAGTTAGAACTTTGGTAAATATCGTTTTTAAATCTCCAAAGAGTGCCGATCAAAAAACTTTAACCAGTTTTTCGTTCAAAATTGAAAACTTCTAAAAAGCCTAAATTAAACAACACTTTAAATATTCTCTTAGCGTTATTTTATTTAATTTTATTAAAAATCTATTTTTTTTATAAAAGGTTAATAAGAATGCTATTTTGTAACCTAATAAACGTAGAAATATCTAAAAAAAAATGGGGGTACATCTGTTTTCCGTGTTATGCCAAAATCATGAATTTACGCTTTTGCTTTATTAAAAATAAGCGATTTTTGGCTCACCCTGTATATATCAAAAGATGTGAACAGTATTAAAAAGTATTCTTTAAGTCTCCTCAATAATATACTCTAATTTTATAAAAATCGGTGTACAAATGTGTACTCTGTCAAAGGTAGACTTTGAAATAAACAAAAATTTAAAAAAAAATCATAAATTTTCATAAATTTCGAAAAGAGGATCAGCTAGGATTTTGGTAAATATCATTTTTAAGTCACCAAAGGGTCCCGAACAAGAAACTGCAATCAGTTTTTGGCGTCATTTTTATGTGACACACCGTGAATTCTCTCATCTCCTAGCAATTTTTAAAGATCTTTCTGAAATTTCCACCAAACATGGAAGGTAAATTAAAAATTCCTCCGCTTTAAAATCAAATCCGAAACTATTCACACGGGTCCCCTTGCTCGGGAATCCGTACAGCTATAGATGGAGTGTGCCCCCCGCAGCTTCATTCACCTATAACATAAACATTTTAATGAACTCCGGCACTTCTCTATTTTAATAGATACAACACCAGACTTAGTACATTGCCTGACAATGACACCGTCCAGCTGCCACTGAAGAAGGACACATCACATCGATTGCCACGTAACGGAGTGAGATGAACCGGGGTCGGTAGCAAATATTTGCTATTGAAGTGTCAAGCTTTGTTTGCCTGCATTGTGTCCATAAATTTGTTAGAAGCGCCGACTTGAAATCGTATTATTACGTTCGTATAGAAGTGTTCCACGGATTTTAAATGTTATCCCCGGATTAAAAATCTTAATGGTGGTTTCCGTTTTATTATCATTACACCTATTCGGCATCCCATTTGATCTGGATCGACGGTATTGAGAAATAACTTTAAGCAATTACACCGCAATATAATCATTTAAAGTTATCTCGCACAACACAATAACAGAAACAGTATCGTCAACCTAAAGAAATAGCCTATTGGTAACAGCGACATCAAACTGTAAAATTCAAAAATTCAGTAATTAATAACAACAAAACGAATCAGTTGTATTCACCGTTAACATTTTTTAAGGTTACTATGACCTAAAAATACCCATTTATATTTACATTTAGACATATTTTGGATTAGTTTAAGTTTTGGTCGCAGCTTTGGTTAATTTAGATATATTTTTTAACCAACAATTTATATTTTACCAAATATATTTTAATGTTAATTAATAATCTGGTTTAAAAAATGATGGTTTTGCAGTTTTGCAGTCTCCATACAGCTTTATATGTAAACCTATAGGTTGTGAGTTTTGTGTGATAATGGAGCCTAAAAAAATAATTTTAAAATATATAGACTTTTTCAACTTACAATAGAAGAGTTAACAAAGTTGTAAATATTTATTTATCTACAAATCTTAAAACAGTCCCCTAACTTTTAATTAATTTGGCAAGCATCTATAAGTTTCATCGCATAACAAATGCTTTTTATAAAAATAAAGGGCTGCAACTTAAATCAGAACGTAAGATCGGCGGTATTTTTTGTAAGTTAGTTGGTTTAAAAATAACAAGTTTGTTTTAAACTAATTTTGGTAATTATTAACTACAACTATAACATTAACTAAAACCTAAGAGTTATAAATTACCGTTAGGTAAATAAAGTAGTAAAATTAAATACAATAAAATAACTGAATAGTTTAAATAAACTTGCAGGTTAATAATTAAATTATTTAATCAATAGGTAAAATAATCCTAAAATTGCCATATTGTTTGCTGTCAATTCTAACCAATAATAAAATAATATTATTTAAAACTATTTTAAATCAATTTAAAAAAAATAAAGAAAAAATAGACAATTTTCTTTATTTCTTATTTTTTCAAAGCTTATTTAAATATGTATGTATTATGTACTACTTCATCAGAAAAAAAGTCCCATTGGTTTTTCCCTTAGGGAGGGGGCGACATTTTATTTTAAGGTTCTGTAAGTCATATCTATAGATATACATAACCATATTTGGTAATATATAGAGTTAAAATAAACTTAAACTTAAAATTATAGTTTAAGTTGACTAAAGAGTTAAAAAGATAAATTAACCAAGATGTTAAATTTAACTAACATAACTTTAATTTAAGGTTAATTTAACGTTAATTTAACCAAAATATCTACATAAAAAAACAGTGGCACTGAATGTATATTTTTTTTATTAATTTATAAACTAGTGTAATTAATTGGATCGGCATAGAAACGGTTCCCCAAAGACCGTGATTATTCCAATTGGGCATTTTAAGTAAATTATTCCAGTGAACGCCTCAAGCAGATGTTATCATAAGGATAATTATTTTCATCCCATTGATTTCGCACCCTCGACACCAGAAGTTATCAACAAAATGACTAAATAATGTACATAATATTATTGTAGAAGTATTTCAAAATCTCCTAAAAAGTATCGTTTTATTTTTCGCATTAATAAATTGATTTTTAAATGAATGGGGCTGCCGCAAGAACGAGGGCGATTATTTTTGTTTTGGTTTTCGGTCACGTGTCTGAGTGATGTTGCCAATACAGCACACGTGACTCTTGATGGACTAATTCATAAAACTTTTTGTCGAAGTATTGTTTTACAGTATATGTACATAAATAATGTTATCGCAATGTAATTTCAATGATAGCTGAAATTACTTGCAAATGATAGAAAATACTTATGTTCTTGTTTGCTGATCACTTGATGAGCCGTGTAATAAGGTTATAACAACTGTTCTAAATCAAACAAATCTAAATTGAATTATATGCAGTTTATCTGTACGTAGGTACTTATTAATATGTTTATATGAAATCCGGTTTAATTTGTTTTTCTCCCATATCGAATCGAATTTATTCCAAGCTTTGTTCTAATAACTTTTGAACGATGTGTTAGGCCGACGGACACGTGATCACCCCAAATAAATGCACCCTGACACGTGGCGCGCACTTATACAACTTTAATCCCATTAAAATGACACTCGCATTTTTTATTTGTTTCAGGATCGTGAGGAACAAGGCTGCCGAAAAGGCGAAGCACGCTCACCAAGTGGCGACCAGCGGATCCACCGGATCCGGATCCGGCGGACCGGTGTCCGTGATAGCCCACGCCCCGGCCACCCAGCTGTCAGAGCCCAGGTCGGGCGCCTACAGCATAAACGGGATTTTGGGCATCCAGCACGATCCCAACGGTAACAGCATCAAAAGGAAACGGATAGACGACCATGGTAAGTCTAAATTCTCTTCAAAAGTGAAAACTCATATCTCTACTCTCTTAGCAGTCAATTTTCATGTAGAATTGTCCCTTGAATCCGAAAATTTCGTCAAAATAAAAGAAGAAAAGTAGAACATTTTTTCAATTTTCAGTGGACAATTTTACATAAGAATTTGCTGTTAAATGTAGGGGATACCATGATATCCCATGGTTAACAATGAAAAAGCATCAACTTATAACTGAGGCCTGTCAGAGCAAAGTCAACAATCTCCCATCAGACTAAAACTGAGCTTTTGGTATTTTAAATTCTAGATTTGTAACTTTTTTATATATTATATTGAAATATTGTTGTTGTTAGTCTAGTAGCCAACTACAAAGCTCCAGGATACATAGTATAGGTGAAATCTATAATTATAAATTGAAGATTGCTGACTTTGATATGAATTGCTGGAGATTGCTCATTTTATTGTAAACGTTTAAGGAGATTTAGAAAAATAAACAAAAAAATAATTGTTTTTTATTCCTTTAATGGGTATAAAATTTAACTATACAATCAATGTGGGAAAATTCTGAACTGGACCACATAAATCTGGAGTTTCTTCTAAATCTGGGACCAGGTTGCCTCGTGCAAAAAAGTTTTTATAGTACAACTCATCATCTTCTTCCCACATTGCCCCGTAATGTTCTACTTGCAATGTTTTGACATTATCAGCCTTTTCTTGCTTTACCTTTACCTTATTATGGTATAATACCACAAAATAAACAAGATAACTTTTTTTTAATTCTTAAAACAATAAAACGTATATATACCTATTTTAAATACATTTTTAAGTGCCATTTACTGCAATAGAACTAAACAGTATGTATCAGTAAAAAACACAAAATTAAATCTCTAAAATACGTTATAACATCAAATGTTAGGATATCAAGTGACACAAATTACTAATTTCTAATGGTGGAATTGAAGATTGTATACTTTGCTGCAAATCTATCAGTGGAGATTGTCGACTTTGCACTAAATGTCATTTTTAAAATAGGATTTTAGGCAGGATTTAGCTCCTTTTGCAGCACATAAACTTTATCATCTTAGGTATAGATAATTAGTTGAAGTACAGTCTCCGTCAAAAATCTAATTTTTGACCAAATGTGGAGATTGTCTGTTTTGCTATGACAGGCCTCAACTATTAAGTCATTTTTGACTAATTCATTTTTAGTGAATTTATTAATTGATCGCTTTAATAATGTAGACTTTATTATCAATTAAGCTGTCTACTTATATTTTTAAATTAGAAGAACCCATACCTGTGCTAATGATTATCAAGTGTCACTAATTATTTCCTTTTAAAATAAAATCAATAATTGAATTAAAATTCCCACGCATTAATGGATATAGTGTCACTTTCTATAAATAATACAACATCCTGTATAACAAATTAATTAAATGTTAATCTGATTTATAATCATACATTAAAAATATGTTCTACAATTGGCAACATTTCTACCGTTTTGTATCGAAATTTAATTTGAATAGCACAGCCCCAAAAATGGCCATCACTAACATAACAATGCTTGACTTTACTATATATACACACATACACACAACACTAGTCGATTTATTTCGAATGTTCCCTTCATTCCGTCCCCATGGACCAGTCAATATAATTGTAATAACATTGTCCTGAACTACAGTCGACCAACCAAATGTTCAACAAAGTTACATTTTTTTGGTATGGTTTTTGGTTTTCTCATCTCAGGGTATACCGATAAAAAAAACAACTTTTTTATTAATTGCATCTAAAAAGCATATTTGTAGAAGTTACTAGCCTTCAAAGTTAACCGTTAAATTTAACCCCATGGTTCTAAACTTTAAGTTTGTTCTCCAACTCAAATCAACTGCATTTTTGCCACAAAAATTTCAAATTACCACTAAATAACTATATACTATAAACTATAGTCTCACAATTTAGCACCATGGTGCTACGTAATTAAGTAAACTTTAAAACTCTGTACCTTCCACAAAAAGTAACCGATTTTGGTGAAATTTTTCGTGTATAATAACTAAACTACACTGTTTTGAATGCATGTATTGAATGTGCCGTGTTTTTGTCGGTATACCCTGAAAATTAAAAACTCCAAGCTATAAAATAGTTCCGTTAAAATATTGTTCTGCGATCTCTACTTGGCTGTGCAGTTGGGGCCTTTGTTGCTGACTATAACAGGCAATGCATTAGGGTGGAAATTATACAAGGGGGCAAAAAAGAGCAACATTTAAATGTCAAGAGCTTCGACAAAAGGTTCACGGTAAAAACGCTTATGTAAAAATGTTTGCTGTTTCTATTAGACATTTAATTTATGTATGCACAATAAGCCGACCAGGAAATACCTTCGCCTATGTTAGGCCCCACGGGTCTATCCTTTAATACCATAATCAAAAAGTTAACTTAAGGGGAGGGTCTTTATATAATAAGTAATAATATTTTTAGTTGATTCCCATAATTTTTTATTGCATCGATCCTTTTGTGTCAAGAACTTAATTTAAACATAATTGTATTCAAAATTATTATTTTTTCCAAATCAAATACTAAAACCAAAACTGTACAATTATTATTTTTAAAACTCATTTTTGCTATAAAACTTTAGAATCGCGTTAAAACGCTTTTAGGGCAATAACATTAGAATCAAAAAAGTGATGGTAGAAAATGTACGTAAAATACTTCTTCACCATTAATATTTTCATAAAAATGTCTTTTTAAAATTCATTTTTGCAATAAAACTTCACAATCGCGTTAAAACGCTTTTTAGGACAATACAATTAGAATTAAGTAAGTGATGGTAAAAATGTACGTAAAATACTTACACCTACTAAGTATTAATACTTTCACAAAAATGTCTCTTTGGGCTTTAAAACTCATTTTTGCTATACAACTTTTTAGGACGATAACTTTAGAATTAAGACAGTAATGGTAAAAAATGTACGTGAAATACTTACACCTACCATTAATACTTTCACAAAAATGACTTTTTGGGCTTTAAAACTCATTTTTGCATTAAAACTTCAGAATCGCGTTAAAACACTTTTTAGAATTATACAATTAGAATCAAGAAAGTGATGCTAAAAAATGTACGTAAAATACTTACACCTACCGTTAATACTTCCAAAAAAATGACTTTTTGGGCTTTAAACTCATTTTGGCAATAAAACTTCAGAATCGCGTTAAAACGCTTTTTAGGACTATAAAATTAGAATCAAGAAAGTGATGGTAAAAAATGGACGTAAAATACTTACGTCTACTATTAATACTTTCACAAAAATGACTTTTTTGGGCTTTAAAAATTATTTTTGCATTAAAATTTCAGAATCGCCTTAAAGTGCTTTTTAGGACAATACAATTAGAATAAAAAAAGTGATGGTAAAAAATGTACGTAAAATACTTACACATAATATTAATACTTTCACAAAAATGACTTTATGGGCTTTAAAACTCATTTTTGTAATCAAACTTCAGAATCGCTTTAAAACGCATTTTAGTACAATACAATTTAAATCAAGAAAGTGATGGTAAAAAATGTAAGTAAAATACTTACACTTACTTTCAATACTTTCTCAAAAACGACTTCATAAGCTTTAAAACTCATTTTTGGAATAAAACTTCAAAATCGCGTTAAAACGCTTTTTAGCACCATACTATTGGAATCAAGAAAGTGATGGTAAAAAATGTACGTAAAATACTTACACTTACTAAATACTTTCATAAAAATGACTTTTTGGGCTTTAAAACTAATTTTTGCATTAAAACTTCACAATCGCGTTAAAACCCATTTTAGGACAATAAAATTAGAATCAAGAAAGTGATGGTAAAAAATGAACGTAAAATACTTACAACTACTAAGTATTAATACTTTCACAAAAATGTCTTTTTGGGCTTTTTGCAATAAAACTTCAGAATCGCGTTAAAGCGCGTTTTAGGACTATACAATTAGTACAATCAAGAAAGTGATAATAAAAATGTAGGTAAAATACTTATAATATAATAAAAAATGATATTTTTTCAAAAAGAACTGTTTCTTTGGGCTTTAAAACTCATTTTTGCAATATATTTAAATTTAAAAAATGGTAACAAATATACCTACGTAAAATAATTGTATTAAGTGCGTTATATACCTATGACATAAAATATTCATATGTTTGTAAGAATAATAAGATTCTCAGAGCTGTCATGCCGCAGCAAAAACAGAGATGGCGGGGGGGGGGCGGCTGAAATTCGGCGGTGGCGGTTTGTTTTGGGGATTGCGGGGACTATGCGGTCGCGTAGCAACGCGCTTGATGTCTTCATAATCCGACGGAGACGCCGATTGGTCAGAGAGGCGTCCGGAAGGCCGCACTCTCGCTTGTTTCACGCCGCGGCGTAGTTTACGCGATATTAACGCAAAGCCAACCGAATGCCACAAGTTGATTGTGCAAAGATTGTCCCGAATGTTATGGAACAACCTGATGTAACAAAAATTACATCAAGGTTGGTATTTTAATGATTTTCAATGAATAAAATTTCCAATTTTTTTTTCAACGAGTCTCTATGGGCGCCGTTTTATTTTTTATTCAGGAATTATTCTTTTATGTTAAAACTAAATGTTATTTTCAATTATATACAAAATTCTATGTAAGAATTTTTATTCCTAACTGATATTTTTAATTTAGTGAATTTAAAATATAATATATTATGTTTCTTATATTTGTATTTTTTAGTTACACACATATTTTTAATTCGCTAAATTAAAAATATCATAGGAGAAATTTTTAAATGCATTAAAAATATCAGGAGATGATTTTGATTCATTTCAATTTTTATTTTTTTTAATTGAATGTGATATTTTTAATTCAGATTGAAAGTTTGGACACCCCTGATATTCCAAACTAATTCATTAAAAATATGTGCTTATTTAATAAAATAAAAATTAAATCGAATTAAAAATATCAGTTTGGCATAAAAATTAAATCTAATTTTAAAATATCTG